AGTATGGTAGCATAGATATGATTAATCCTATAGATGCCCTTGTAGCCCTCATAACAAAGTGCATTATGAAAGCTTGTAAACCTAGATTGTCCAACTTACACATGTTATTGAAGTTTTGATTGAAAAATTTTCAACCTTATTCTTATGGAAGATAGAACATGAACATGAAATTTTTTACTCTCCACAATTTTCAAGCAAAAATGAGGTCAACAATCTTGTTCTATGCAAATATTTTCTAGTAGCATCTAGTAAAAGAAGTTCATTTTTTGAATCTAGAATTAGCTAAAGAAGTAGTTAGTATCTTTATTTGATTGTCTTCATTGTATTTACTCATTGGTGCAAGCTTTTCCAAACTTTGTGCTTCTCAATTATACCAAATAAGACTTTACTATGTGAGAGACATGGAGTTCAATAAGAATTTTATTTAAATTCAAGTGGCTGTGATCAACTTTGATTTGTATCAAACAAAATTTGGAGCCTAAAATGCTATTATTACAAGATTAACTAGTCACTAAAGAGTCTTCTTTTCACAATTGTCTTCACTAATTAGTCAAAGAGAATAGATTGGATATTATACAAGTAACCTTGATAAACTATCAAGAGTAGTATCACAATCTCAATCTATTTTACATATAGAAGCACATCAATTCCTTGGCAGTTGTACATAATTCTCTATTTTTACCAATTATTCCTTGATTTTTAGTTCTACCTACTTCATGTTGATTATAAATAAAAACCTAAGCTAGAATAGTAATAAATTTAGAATTTCATCATTAAGTGAGAGTCATCAAAGTCAAATACAGCTTAGAAAAGAATTTCTCTTGGATATTTCATAGTTGAGTTAATTCAGTAGATTAGGATTCAAATAAGTTTCAATGGGCATTCCACTCCAATCCAATCTCATTCCTTGTATACTCAACAAAGTTGGAGAAAAGACATTTTGAGAGGCAAGCATATTATTCTCAACCCTGTCAAAAAGAAGTGGTTGGAGGTCCTCTTAGGTAATTATTGTCTATGTTGAAGGACCACCTCAAATAAGACTTGTACCAACAAGAAAGTAGGTCTACTTTAGTTTTTGTGGCACCATGCCATTGCAAACAATGTGAGGTGAGGAAGAATTAATCACATAGTTTCCCTCCACTATCTAATTTGTCTTAGGAAGGCTAATGAATTAATCCTCTATTACTTTTGGGAGTGCTCCTTTGTACAATAGTATGGTAGTGGGACATTCATATTCTTAACTTGCTTATCTATGGCTCAGATGCAATGAGGCCATGGCAGCCTCAATCTTGGTGCTATGGCTTTTATCTGACCACATCCCTTGGAAATTTGACCAATTTAGCTCTATGTGGTCACAAATTTGGTCAGTGGTGCTTTGATTAGTTTGGAGGAAAAAAAAAAAAAAAAAAAAAAAAAGTGCAATGTTTAATAGCATATTTTAGTCACTAGAGAAATTATTTCAATGCATTTGGCTAGGATTAATTGATTACAAAAGGATAGAATGATCTATTGCTAGAAACTCTAAGAAAACACAACCAGAGGCAGGGTCCAAACTTGTTCATAAAAAGATGGTGCTGTTAGTGACTCTTCTTGTCCATGCTCAATGACAACCCTCAATGGGTCCTTACAGGCCCACAACAGGGTTTGTCTTTCAGCCTCTACATGCTAGAATTGGGCACCCACACCTAGACAGACATTAAGAACTTCATGACAAGCTCAATGCTACCTGGAGTTAATCCATCCCATCATTTGTGGTGTCATTCAGTCCAGTATTATGTCACCAGCTATGTTACCACACTTGTCCTTTAGTTTCCACCCAGGCAGCTTGCTGCTGGGCTGGTTGTATTATGATTCTTTATGGCAATGTTCTTTCATTTGTTTCAAAAACAAAACAAAAAGCAAAAAGCAAAAAGAGAAAGTGATTGAACCATATGGCATCACTCTGCTATTTCTTTTGAAGTGCCTGCTTCAGGACAAATCTTTTGAACGACGTTCCTGGCACTTGCTGGGAATGACACATCACCCACTCAACCCTAACACAGTGTACGATTAACTTTACAAGTTCCTCATGGATTTGGCTCCCGCTTTGATTGATGAGTTAATTGATTTTTTCGTCTTCAACTTTCACGAAAAGGCCTGGAACCAGTCTCCATCCTCTGATTCTGCCAATATAACACACATTCACAATCTCTGAATTAGCGAAAATAAATTCCCTCTACTTCGATGTATTAGCTATTTTTTTTTTGTTTTGAAAACTAATTAATGAATAAATAAATGAAATATATATAGATATAGATAAATATATATTTATACACGTAATGAGAAGATTTAATTTCCTTCATGTTTTATAGAAAAAGTAAAATAGCAGGGAACACTTTGTCTTTTCTCTCTCTCTTTTAATTTTTTTATTTTTAGGGGATGATGGGTTCTACAGTTCGTCTGTACTATCCACAGTAAAACCATGTGGACTTTAAAAAAAATAGAAGGCTGTTTTATTCACTGAATACAGTACTTTTATTTTTATCAGATTCAAATCTACCACTTCTCTTTAAACGCATGGCTGTGTGCTAACTTTAGAATTACAAGTTATTCTTTCTTTTGTTTTTATAATAATAATAATAATAATCTCTGCATTTTTAATATTTAGTCACTAAGAATCAGAGGAAGGAATGTTTCCACGTTAACCACCACCACTACATGCAGCTAAACTGTACACATGAGTTTGTGGGTGGCTATATCAGACGCACTATGAGAAGACCTTCACCACCCCACTGCGTGATTCTCCCCACGTTTTGTCCGCGATCCCGTCCAGACAGGGATGAAATTCTCCGCTGCCACCGTCGTAAGTGCCGCAGATGGCGTTTGGTGCTTACACCCCGCGATTAATGGATAACTCCATCAGTTAGAATGCATGGCTGGGATGCGTTCAAGGTGGCGCGCATTTCATCTGCCGGAGGTCCTCGCACCATTTACGTAAAATTAGTAACCGTGGTACACACTTGTTGGGGGGGGGGGGCATTGCCCTTTCCCGACATGCCCAACTTCCAGCATGTTTCTTGCATGAGGTGTATGAAATGTTTTTCTTTGTTTACGACGATGGATTGACGGGTGACCTTTATAAAGCCTGCGAACATGTTGCCATAATCGGGGTTAAGGGGTGCTTGACAACTGGGTTTGCAACGAGGTGAGTGGAACTACAGCTGCGAGCGCGGAATTATTGGAGATGGCGAGGCAAGATGGGAGGTGAGGAGTCAGGACAGAGATGGTGCTAAAGATAGCGAGTGGCGTGGGTGGGTGGATATGAACATGCATTGAATTTGAATGATTGAGGTGAACGGATGTGCATTCAATGTACGGGGTTTTGGGTTTAACAGATGGGCCGCAGAAGTGACTGAGTCCTTTCTGGCCGTCCTTGCGGAAGTATTTCTTGGTTGTTATGTTGTTGTTGCTGTTTTCAAGTTTATTCTGAAAGTTGAAATCTGGCAGACTGGGCAAATGTTGCTGTTAATAGTGGTTGCAGAAGGATTTCGATGGCATTGGGCATGGCGCTAGATGAGAGAATGGAATTTAGGGTTTCGTGAGAGTGAGGGTAAGCCTCGTAGAATCGTGTCGCAGAAACCACCTTATTCAATCGAATGGCTCCACCATCGTGGGCCGTCGGATCACAGCTGCCGCTCAGATTCTGGGAACGGAGGGTGGGAACGTAGGGGAACCAGGGGGCGGGCAGTTTGGAGGGCGGTAGGTTGGGAACTCAGAACCCATACACAAATGTCTTAAAATGCTGCAAAACCAGTTTGTAACTTAGATCTTTTTCCAATTTCCAATGCATGATACGAATTTGATCTTACATTTTTTTCAGCAGGACTTTCATTGCAAATATTTTCAATGCTATATTAATTAGAGCTTATTTTTCTTTAAAAAAATTGGAAATAGTCATGATAAGATTAATAAAACTTTACAAGATTAAATAATTAGTAAACTAGTTAATTATCTAACATATCATCTTAAATTTATATAATTTTATTTATTCTTAGAACTAAAATTTAGTATTTTTAAGGTATATTATGCTTTAAAATATGCCTTTTATATACTCTTATATGTTATTGATTTAATAATATAATTGTTTGTGGTAAAATAAATACAATAGAATTTGATTGAGTTACTTTATATCTATACTTATCGTATATATATATATTTATATATATATATTCTTATATTTATATGTATGTCTATATATTTATTTGTATGTCTATATATATTTATATTTATATATATATTTATATATACTTATATTTATTTGTATGTTTATATATATTTATATATAGACATACATAACTCAAAACTAAGGTTTTGTATGCATTACTAAAGTTTTAAGACTATTATTTTAAAGTTGAACCATTTTGTTGTCATAAAACTAAAACCCCATTGTTTAAAATTAAAATTTTATTAAAATAAAATATATTATATTTTTAAAAAATTATACAAATAAGCATGTTTAAATTTTTTTCCTTTTTTGGATCACTATGTTGTATGTTAATGCAATGTAATTTTTTAAAAACTTAGTTTTATGCAATATGTGTTTTATAATATAGCTAATAAAAAAAACCTAATGCTACCTAACAAATTTATGAGTTGCAAGAATTCTTTCTGGAAACGGAAGTATCATGTTCATTGAGTACTGTTGTGTATGAAAACAAAATAAAATTGTTTGAAGCAAGAGTGATGGTTGAAAAGTGGGATTGAGAGGCAGCCCCTGAACAAATTTCAGCACCCATGTAAATGTGGATCAGTGCGGGGGACCCAATAAGGAATGGCTTCTGAGTTCCATACTGCCCGGCCTCCAACCTGCCCGCCACTGGTTCCCCTACGTTCCCTCCCTCCGTTCCCAGAAATCTGATCGGCGGTGGACATTTCATCTGAGCGGGAGTTGTGATCCAACGGCCCACGATGGCGAAGCCAGTCGATTGAATAAGGAGGTATCTGCGGGACGTAGTGACGAGGGAGGGTGAGGGTTCTGTCTATGCGCGAGAGTTCAGAACTGGCATACACCCCCCCCTCCACATTCTCGTCGGCATTGAGTGTGCTTGCGGGCGCATCAATGCAGAGAATGAACTCAGAGATTTGGTTCGGTGACTCATTTGTGATGGCGTCTTTCGAGATGTCGAATTCAACATGTGGAATCGTTTTGAAGGAACAACAGTTACAGTTCGCTCCTCGGCGTGCAGATGAGTGTACGAGGATTGACATAGACTGGAATGTGGGCGCCTGCTCGCGATCACAGATGCAGGTTTAGATGCTTCCTTTGCTTAGTAGATGTGGCCTTGCTGTTGATCTCCGATATGGAGGTAAACCGAAGACTGAGATGGGTTGTAGACATTGTTACTCTTCTGGTCTGGATCGTCGGTGCGGCGGCCGCTTTGACGCCGGATGGTGTAGCCTTGCTGGAATTCAAGGAAAGTTTAGCGGTATCGTCTCAGTCTTCTCCGCTGCTGAAGACTTGGAATGAATCGGATGCATCACCATGTCATTGGGGTGGAATCAGTTGCACACGAAGTGGTCATGTGCAGAGCATCGATTTGGAAGCGCAGGGGCTTGAGGGTGTTATCTCCCCGAGTTTAGGGAAGCTGCAATCTTTACAGGAGCTTATACTTTCAACAAACAAATTGTCTGGGATCATTCCTCCAGATCTTGGGAACTGTCGAAGTCTCGTCACCCTGTATCTAGACGGAAACGCGCTTACTGGAGAGATTCCAGAGGAGTTAGCCAATCTGGAAAACTTGAGCGAGTTAGCGCTCACAGAAAACTTGCTTGAGGGTGAAATCCCTCCCGCCTTTGCAGCATTGCCGAACTTGACCGGATTCGACCTTGGAGAGAATCGACTTACAGGTCATGTACCGCCGGCGATCTACGAGAACGTGAATCTGGTATGGTTCGCCGTCAATGATAACAATCTCACTGGGGACATCACTGCAGGTATGACAGCGTTTTGGATTTGGTACTCTTCTGTAAGAGCTTTTGGAATAATAATGATGGTTCCTGCGATAGCTTTCAATTGCATAGATAGCACCCTCTTTTAGGACTTCATAGCGGGAGACAATCAAATGTATCGCATTTCTCATCTTCTCCCCATCTGCAGGTTTGGAAGCACTATCAAAGTTACCGGCCATAGGAGACATATGGATGCACGGCAACAGTTTCAGCGGTACATTACCACCATCAATAGGAAACGCCTTTACTCTCGAATCCATCTGCTTGAACAATCAGGGCTATGGGATTTCTAGTTTTGGAGGGACGATCCCGAGGGAGATTGGCAAGTTAGTGAACCTTACTCATCTAGACCTCCGAGACAACAATTTCACGGGCACTATTCCACCGGAGCTCGGAAACTTGGTTTTGCTCGAAGGAATGTTTCTTTCCAACAACCAATTGACCGGCCGTATACCTCGCGAATTCGGACGGCTAGGGAACATGGTGGATCTCCACTTGTTCCAAAACAGGTTGGACGGTCCAATCCCAGAGGAGCTCGGGGACTGCCATTCTCTGCAGGTTTTTCTGGCGTATGAGAATTTTCTGAATGGCTCCATACCTTCGTCGTTTGGGAATCTGGTCAATCTTACGATACTCGATGTTCACAATAACGCAATGTCTGGGTCACTTCCTGTGGAGATTTTCAACTGCACATCTCTCACCAGCCTTTACTTAGCAGACAACACGTTCTCTGGCATTATTCCTTCGGAGATTGGGAAGTTGACTAGCTTGACCAGCTTGCGGATGTGCTTTAACAACTTTTCGGGTCCTTTCCCAGAGGAAATTGCTAATCTGAAGTACTTGGAAGAGATTGTTTTGAACAGTAATGCCCTCACTGGGCATATCCCTGCAGGCCTTTCGAAACTCACCGAACTAGAACACATATTCTTGTATGACAATTTCATGTCAGGACCTCTTCCCTCGGACCTCGGGAGGTTCAGCAAGCTTATAACCCTCGACATCCGCAATAACTCCTTCAACGGGTCGTTGCCGCGATGGTTATGCCGAGGTGAATCCCTGGAGTTTCTGGATGTCCATCTAAACAATTTTGAAGGCCCAATTCCATCATCCCTTTCTTCCTGCCGAACTTTGGATCGGTTTCGCGCTTCGGATAATCGGTTCACGAGAATTCCTAATGATTTTGGGAGAAACTGTTCGCTCACATTTCTGGATCTCTCAAGCAACCAATTGAAGGGTCCGTTGCCGAGGCGCCTTGGATCTAATAGCAACCTCAGCAGCCTGGCTTTGCATGACAATGGGCTCACTGGTGATCTCTCCTCGCTGGAGTTCTCCCAATTACCGAATCTCCAGAGCTTAGACTTGTCTATGAACAGTTTGACAGGTGAGATACCTGCAGCAATGGCAAGCTGCATGAAGCTGTTTCTTATAGACTTGAGTTTCAATTCTCTCAGTGGAACTGTACCTGCTGCACTCGCAAAGATTTCAAGGCTCCAATCGTTGTTTCTACAAGGCAATAACTTCACATGGGTAGATCCAAGCATGTATTTTAGTTTTAGTAGTCTTCGTATACTTAACTTTGCGGAGAATCCTTGGAATGGACGGGTTGCAGCCGAAATCGGGAGTATTTCGACCTTGACATATCTGAACTTGAGCTACGGGGGTTACACAGGGCCGATCCCATCGGAACTGGGGAAGCTGAATCAGCTTGAGGTTCTCGATCTCTCGCATAATGGCCTCACAGGTGAAGTACCGAATGTGTTAGGCGACATCGTATCTCTTCTTTCGGTGAACCTTTCACACAACCAACTCACAGGCTCGTTGCCTTCCTCCTGGGTGAAGCTCTTCAATGCAAATCCAAGTGCGTTTGACAACAATCCTGGCTTGTGCCTCAAGTACCTCAATAATCAATGCGTGAGTGCAGCCACAGTTATTCCAGCAGGCTCAGGAGGCAAGAAACTTACCGTGGGGGTGATATTGGGCATGATAGTGGGCATTACATCGGTGCTGCTGTTGATCGTGGCATTCTTCTTCTGGCGGTGCTGGCATTCAAGGAAAACAATAGATCCAGCACCGATGGAGATGATTGTGGAGGTGCTGAGCTCGCCTGGGTTCGCCATCACGTTCGAAGACATTATGGCAGCAACACAGAACTTGAATGATTCTTACATTATCGGAAGAGGCAGTCATGGAGTAGTGTACAAAGCGACATTGGCATCGGGTACACCCATCGTGGCAAAGAAGATTGTAGCCTTCGATAAAAGCACCAAGCTAATTCACAAAAGTTTCTGGAGAGAGATAGAGACCATCGGACACGCTAAGCACCGAAACCTTGTGAGGCTACTTGGCTTCTGTAAATTGGGAGAGGTAGGACTCCTGTTGTATGATTATGTTTCCAATGGGGACCTCCATGCGGCCTTGCACAATAAGGAGCTAGGACTGGTGTTGAACTGGAGATCTAGGCTTCGTATTGCAGAGGGTGTTGCTCATGGATTAGCGTATCTCCACCACGATTACGACCCTCCGATAGTACATCGGGATATTAAGGCCAGCAATGTGCTTCTGGACGATGATTTAGAGGCTCACATCTCAGACTTCGGTATTGCTAAGGTGCTCGACATGCACCAGAGCGATGATGGCACGACCACGGCTTCGCTTGTGTCTGGAACATATGGCTACATTGCTCCGGGTAAGTATGTGTACATCACTTTCATTAAACATTCATGCACTGTATGAGATCACGTCTTGCGCTTTCTGACCATCTTCAGATTACCCTGTGAAAATAGTCTTTATGTTGCGAACAGGTTTGTGAGAGTGTAAGTTAGGTATGCATTATGCTCCTATGCTTTTCGCGTGGCGCTGTACATTGTTTTGACGTGACTGTAGCAGGATTTTAAGTGGGGATTTTCGTTTTTGTTGCAGAGGTTGCTTGTGGTGTCAAGGTCACGCCGAAGCTAGATGTGTATTCTTACGGGGTCCTGCTGCTTGAGCTGCTTACTGGGAAGCAACCAGCGGATCCAAGTTTTGGAGAAACTATGCACATTGCTGCGTGGGTGCGAACGGTAGTGCAACAAAACGAAGGGAGAATGAGTGATTCCATCATTGACCCATGGATTCTGCGGTCGACGAATTTGGCCGCTAGATTAGAAATGCTGCACGTGCAAAAGATCGCCCTACTATGTACTGCGGAGAGCCCAATGGATCGGCCAGCAATGAGAGATGTGGTGGAGATGTTGAGGAACCTTCCTCAGACGAATGAACACATGGAGCATATGGAGATTGGCTGATGACATAGAGTATCCGCTTTGCTGAGAAAGCTCAAGGATGAGCTTGAAGACATGAGCTCTGCTCTGCTGCAAATCGGATTGTTTTACCTGCTCTGGTTTAGAAATTCCGAATACTGCAAGCCCGAGTGTAAAACTAACTTATCCGGACTCCTATGACAACGTGGTGGGCAAGTTTCAACACGGGGAACGAGACCAGGAGGTTTTTACTTGTGGGTCTCCCTCAACATTAAGAGCGTGCAGAAGGCACGTGCACTACTTTCATCTTCGAGGCTGACAAATATTGCTGTCCTATTTTGGAGGCTTTAACTGATGCGTCTTGTCGAAGATCTTGTTTTCAAATTCCAGAAACGGCTCTACAATGAATACAAAAAGAGCATAAATTTTCTCTCTGAAACCAGACCCGTTCTTCAAACCACAGCATACGATCACAATGTCAACAGCAGCAATTCGTAGCGAGTTCATCGATGCATACAATGTATTTTTGGCCGCAGAACTACGGACATGCGCGGGCTGTGTTCTCCACACAATGCTATGTCGATTTTGGTTTTGATCTAGCGAGCAGGCGCCAGGGAAATCAGTATGGTGTCGCTATGAACCAGGGCAGTTCCCCGGGTTTAACTAAGGTGGAGATTGCTGATTTGAGCCGCCGGCTGCCTAGATGACCTTAATCAGAAACTCCCACTTGGCAAGTTAAGTGCTGTGTGGACGTGAGTATGAACTATGGAAAGGGCCCAATTTGATTCTTTCTTTACCACGGTGATGACCTGGTGGTGTTCAAGTTTAGAGAGAACATAATTTCAATATAGTTTATTGTTCAGCTTTGGAAACTTGTAGGCGACCTTCGTGGCGGACGCAGGGTATGGTTACCACAACTAGCCGGCTGCAAGTGTTCATTAGCATGGCTGAGCTTGTGCTTATGTAAGATTTAATTGCCCTCAGCCGTTGAGGATCGATCCGAATGTTCTAAAATATTTGCAGGATGTGTCCGTATCGTCTCCACAAACATTCAGTCTCAATTAGTTTATTGAATTAATGAATTTTCCAGCTGGACACATCAGCCAGCCAGGGCGATGTTGGCTGTAGTCCTCTACGTTGTATCTTTTTTGTATGCATTCATGTGGAATAAGCTTGCGCGGTACGCAAACTCTATCACGTAGAAATAAAGCGGTGTGGAGGGACTCCGGGTGGGGCTCCATTTGTTCATGTTGGCGACACGTATGCAAAGAGTTTCAGGAGCAGGATTTTACCCTCGCAAAATCTCCAATTTTTATATGTAGAGAACAAGAAAATCTCTTGGAGTAGTGAGTGCCCATTATTTGAAGGTTTAGTAAACGCCTGTCATTCGCGTAATTATCGTTCATCGTTGGTTCTACATTACCCGATAACTTCCCTTATTGGTTTGCATTGGTTTAGGATTTGTATTCTCCGGTATTTTATTTGCTAATTGGTAAGGAGCTCATTTCAAAGGCCTTCTTGTGCACGGTCGGGTATTTGGGAGGGTTTGTCACCTGTCTAAAAATCTCATGATGTCTAAGCAATTTAGTATTTGATAAAATACTACTTTTCTAGTGAAGGCATTCTCATGTCTGAGAAGTTGTGGCGTAGAGATGGAGTATCATTTTGTGGTGCAGTAATAGTTGGTCAACATCATAACGGTGAAGCGTATAAATTCGAAACTAGTCAGACTCTAGGATTCAAGATCATTCACATCGTTTCTTGCGACACACAACGTCGGGGGTTAGAGAGTTGTTTGCGAAACGTGCTGGTCAGTCATGCCTGTGTGTATAGTTGCCGTGTAGCTCTTCCAGTATACCCTAAAATCGCTAGAAAACTCTTTGAGTTGGATGTCAAGCACCAGGCCCTTGGTATGCTTCATTGCTTTCATCCCATGCAGTGCTGGTTAGTTTCGCTGTGTCTTCTTAGAAAGTTGGACACATGTTATCCATATTTACATGGCGCATTGAGAAGGGGGTGTGTACTGATGCTTATACTCGCTGTCTATGCAGATAAACGAAAGCCGCGTAACTTGTGGGAGATGACATGGGTCAGGATAAGCAAGGTTGTCAACTAAAATGAGTGACTCATTTCCGTATAGAGTCAGTTTATGAAAATAAACACTGCTTTTATTATAGCATCAAAAAGAAAAGATTCTGACTAGGTACATCTGGCCAGTGAAATCACGAGAAACACTTTCCCTTTGCAATAAAAATTTCATCCAGGAATAGAGCAACAAAAAGTACCGAGTACAGCTTCTCCAGACCGCAATTCAACTACAATGAACTGTTGCAGATTGCAATTGTGGTGGTGTTGCATGGTGTTAAGAATCACTGCCTCGGCAGAGGAAGTAATTTGAGATATGTCTGTTCACCTTTAAGCACCGCAAAAAGGTTGCTGGATATGTCTTTGCTACCCACATGCATTTTATGAATTATAAAACCATCTGAAAGGTCAGTGGCCTTTCAAGCTAAAGTCCAAGGGTGAAATGGGTTCTTAGACTAGGTTGTAGTTTTGCTTGTCCAGTTTCAGATGGTTGTGAACTTTGTAATCATCCAAGAATATAGGAGCCTCTATCTAAATGGCTAACCAGGCTAATCACATAGCAAAGAAGAATACATTCAAAAAGAATATGTGAGTGAATAAATGTGATGTGTTTTTGTTTGCATACATATTGCACACAAGTGGATAGCATTTTTTAGTAGCATTTCCTAAATGTGATAAATGTAAGTAATAAAATGTTTTTACAAATTATTAGTCATGGATTTTTTAAATTGTTTGAAGATTATGGTAAAATCCAAACTTGTACACTCTAACTCTTACCAGAAAAAGTAGTATGTAAAACATATAAATATTCAAATAACATCAATATAAAAAGAAAAGAAAAAAATTGTGCTATTTTGTTTGTTTTGATGCATAATTTAATGAAAAATATTAAAAAAAACTATAATCACAAAATTGATCATAATATAGTATGTGATTTTTCTACTAGATTTAAAAAATTAATAAAAAAATACATTTGATTTTCCAAAATATCAATTAATGCTCAAAGTTACATTTAAATTGTAGATAATTTACATAATATTACTTGTATTAGTAGAATTTTTATTATCTATTGTACTTGAAAATAATTTGAATTATTTATTGTAAACATTTCACCATTCTTTAGAAAAAAAAAATAAATAAATCTAGTCTTATGAGATATTATAATTTCCAGTTAAATAAATTATAAAATATTATTTATTTTGAATTAATTCACTTAAAACTAATAATGATATACATGAAATTATATGGGAATGTTTTAAAAATATTATTAAATAAATATAATCATTTGAATATTTACTTTTAGGTCAACATACTATATAAATTTTTCTATTAGTTAAAACCAATTGGTACTATTTTATAATTATGAATTTCTTTATTTAAATAATATCTTATTGACTAAATTTTAATATTTTATTGACTAAATTTTAATATCTTATTGACTAAATAGAAATTTTAGTTGGCATATATATTTTGGTAGGTTTTAGACACATTGTGGTTTATTTGAAAATAATTTTTTTAATAGCCAAAGATATATTTTAACATATGTAGATTAATTTATTTGATTTTTTCTTTGATTTTATTTATTTATTTTTAAATATTAAAAAAATATTAGAAAAACAAAAATAATGTTTGCATTGGATTAATTTTTATGTACTTGGACACTATCTAAATATATATATATATATATATATATATATAAGGAAATGTTAAATAGATTTATGTTTTTACAAAATTTATCCACCCTTGATAAGGAATATGGTAATCGTGATGAATGTGGTTGATTTTTATTGCTAGCAATTCTAATAGTGGAGAAATAAATCTAAAGGTCATTTTGTTTTTCATGATGGTTGAAATGGATGGATTGATTTAGCAAAAACTAGGGTCTATATAACATTCTCCTATAAATATATGTATATATAAACTAGATTTTATACTATATTACCAACTAAAAGCATAAAATTTAAATATTTAAATATTTAATTTTATTTAATTAAACACAACAATATCTTTGTAGAAATTTTAAGAATTAAAAAAATCTTTATATCTTTGTTAAATTTAAACATAAAAAATTGAATAATAATAACTATTTTTTAAGTCCTTCTACTACTTTTGGTATGAATATATATAATTATTTTTTATCCTTATATATATATATATATATATATATATATATATATATATATATATATATGTGATTATAATTATATAAATCAAATATTGTTTAAGTAAAGTTTTTACAAAATATATTAATTTTTTATTTAATAATTTTTCAAAAATTAATTGATAACTAACATCAATTGGTGGTTTTTATTAATTGAGTTGTTGCACATTATATAATCAATTCTTGCTTCTTATTTAAATTAAAGAAATAAACAGGTATTATTAATAATATTTAAAACTATACTGTAGAATAAAAAATTAACTTTGTTAGTAGTTTATCAATTCTACATTTGGGACTGTTCTTATTTGGTATCAAACTTCCTTTCTTTACTATAGGTTTCTTATGCTTAATTATTAGATTAATTCCATAATCTTTTAAAAAATTATCATATAGATTTAAGTAAATAATAATAAAAATATGTTGGAACTAAAATTTTTAAAATTATTTGAGTACTTTGCATTTATTATAAATACATGTTAAAACATATGAAAAATTAATTGATACAAATTAATAAATTTTTATTTAAAAATTTATAAATACACATAATTATATTTTATTTTTAAAAAGAAACAACTCTACTAATGTTAAATTTCAATTTAATTACAAAAAAAATTTAATATTCAAAGGGATGTCAATATTTACATTCAGATTTATAGTATTAAATTGTGTTTTCATAATTATAAAATACATCTTGTAAATCTACAATTTAATGTTTATAAAATTTACCAAAAAAATTAATAAAAAATATAAGAAATTTGTATCTTATTATTAGGAATGTTATGTTAGTTCATATTAAATTAATAAACTTGAGTAGATGTTTTTACAAGTAGGCCATTAGTATAATTTCCTCGTAGCAGTCCTATTAGCAACCTGTACAACTTGTTCTATACCTACAAAATGCGTATGTACATGTAAACCAAGTTTTCAATTAATTTATACAAGAAAATAAATAAATAAATAATTAAAACTTTTCCAAAACAGAAGTTGTTTAGTTGTTATTACTCTACTTTATTAATGCATAATGTTTGCAATGCTCATTGCAATTACTACTTTAATTATATTTTTCTCTCACAATAATGTAATCAAACTTTTACAAGTGTATCATGAGCTTGCAATGAACAAGATAAGATTAATAAGACAGCTCTTAGGTTGACAAGGGTGACAACAACCGAATCCACCATAATGTCTAGCTTTGCAATGTGCTTTGTGCACCAGCCATACTCCCGAAAACATTTTTAAACATGAGTCCATCCTCTTCTACTTCATCTTAAGATCACGAGCTTCTCCGTAAGGTTCTTCCTATCAACCCAAAGCAATTAGCCTGCAATCTTTCTTAGAATTGATGAAGACATACATGTTTCTTCAAGGTATTTATAGAGCACTACATGTACACGTTTTGAAAATTATTAATATGTCGAAAACAGCATACCTGTTTAGTTTTGTAGTGTTCTTCACAAACGAATCATTTTGATAGGTGCTAACATCGTATAAGTCAGAAATTTGCTTGCTTCACTTCTGTATTTTTCCAAGAGAATATATTTTACGCGAACAAAATATGGCATATATACTGAAAGATAACATAGTATAGTGTAATTCATGATGAAAATCATCACTGGTAATAATAAAGTATGATGATAGGTGTGGATTTGGACTCATAAGGCGGAATTGTAGAGGCGAAATTGGTACCACATGTATTCTGATTTGCAGGAGTGAATGAGAGAAATCAGACTACACGTCTGCGAAAAGCTTTTCAGTCAACACGTTTGGTTTTTGCAAAATTGTATAGTACATGTTGATGCGAAGATGACTGCCTCGAACTGCACTACAGAGGCAGTTGCTCCTGCTTGGTTCGGAAGCTAAAAGTTCCCGCAAGGTATCTAGTTGGGCCTGGCCACTAAGAATCCGCAAATCTGCACCTGCTTCTTGCTGTCAAAGCCCAGCACACGCACCCAGCAGCTGGGGAAGGACTGCTTGCACTCCTGGATCTCCCGCAGCACCTGCGCTGAGTCGGTGCATCCGAACATGGGCAGCTTCCACATGGTCCAGTACCGGCCATCGTAGTAGCCTGAGGAGCCTGGGCCGCTGAAGTTGGTGCGGCTTACTGATCCTACCTGCAGGAGGGAATGCGTAATTGTCACATCAGAATGCAAATTCAGCTCAGATGTTGGCTGGATTGTACCGAGATTTGTTCGAGTATCTAGACTGGTAACCTAGTGGAGTTTCTACCACATTTGGTTAAGGTAGAAGCAAATCTGGCAGTAGCATCTCATCTCTGAGGGACGTTAGTCTTGAAGAGAGCAAGAAATACGGACTCACCGTGTCGAATTCAATGCAGGGAATCAGGTTCTGCTGGATCATGAAGTCCACCTGCTTGGCGATCTGATCATCGGTCAATGGTGGCAAGTACGAAAAGGTCTCGAACTTGGGCTGTCCGATTGGGTTCCACACCTGCGCAGAATGTCAAGCCCATTCTCGATCAGACGTGTTGGAAAAAACAAATGCCACATCCTTCACCAATGCCAGCGGAGTCGTGCACTTGCTCCCCAGTCGAACATGCAAGCAGACGTGAAATCGAGACGTGGCGGCTGTGTACCTGCATGCATTGCACGCGGCTGCCGTTGTGGACGGAGCTCAAACGCCGGGCCTTGGAAGCGGACAGGGTGGTCGACTTCAGACCGGAGAATTGTTTCACGGAGCTGGACTCGCGGCAGACAGATGCAGGGGATGCAGCCGCTACGATCGAGACGGAGACCACAGCAGATGCCATAGCGACAAATCCGTGGAGCTTGCGGCGCGAATTAGAGAGTGCTGGCACAGATCAAAGACGCAATGCGAATGCTTTAGGCAATGCAGGATGAGTGGTCTTGGAATGGCTATGTAGGGGACGCAAATGTGGACACTGCAAGGCTCTAGAACATTCTAGGTTACTCCTCCATCCGTCTGCAACCTCCACATGCAATTGTCATTACAATTTTCCAAATCCCAGTTGTTGCGAGTTCGGACCCAGAGACGTCCATCGGGACTGACTTGCCAGGCTCCATCCATGTTTGAGGCTGTCCGTGACCCAAGCTGATGCTCGGTTTACATGCATTGGTCGGAGGTGGATGGAAGGGCTTTGTCGCCACACAATTTTGCTCTGGTTCACGACCTTTTCTGGGGGAAGGGGGAATTTTACCAAAAAAAAATGCAAAAGCATAAAATCATGCGTACCACAGTGGATCTTGATGATGGAAATTCTGTCAACCAGAACCGGAGAGGATAACTCAGACATAAGTTCCGACTCCGGCCTACTTTATCAGAAAAGAATTGATAAGCGTTCCAGGACATGATGCTATTTGCCCAACAGACTGCATCCTCCTATCTCCTACAACACTCGCGCAGTGTAAAAGGTGTCGCATGGAAGGCACAAACAGGAGAGTCAGAGTATATAACAGGGTCATGAAGGAGATATATGTTCAAGTTTAACTTCTCGGACTCCTCTATCTCCCTCGGCACCTGCACAGTCATTTTATCAATATCTTCACGTTGGTGGCCACGTTCGAACATATCCCATGCGGGCAACTCCGGCGTAGGTGTACAAGGCCAGCGTTGCTTACCATCTGGAGGATACCCCTGCTCAAACCTACGACTCTGTTCCGGTGGTGAGGAAGATAGAGGAGTTCAAGAAGTCCTGTCTCTTCATAGTCATTTTTGTAGCAAGTTTTGCTTCCTCCTTAAAATCGAAGGCAAGGATGTAAGAGTGTATTAGAACTCCATGAACCCCTTTATTCTCTGTTTAATCTTCCCCTTTCGACACCATCTGACAAATGCAACGCGCATTTCTTTGCACTGCTATGGTTGCCTTATCGTAGGATTATTCCTGTCTTATCGTAGAATCCAATATGGCGAAGGTGAAGCCCTTCGTGGCAAGAAACATCCTGACAACAACTAAACCTCCTAAAATGTTTCAGTGGTGGCAAAACCTGAGAATCTTCCCACCCGTCCACTCCTGAGACTGAAAACATCGGCGGCAGATCTCGAGTTTGTGAATTGAGCAGATGGATACAGAAGTGACATATTGGAAGTTGATGCAAGCTAAATTCATTCTGACAAGATTAGTTTCGTTTTGGGATGTTCTTTGATCCCTTTGCGCGGGTTCGAGAGGTTATATTCGATTGAAATTGTCGGCGTCAAGTGTATAGTTTGTACACTAATTGGACTGTTCGAACCGGTCGAGATAGTTGCGACTTAAATTTCTATTCATCGACACGGACGAGTTCCGTGGCTTGTTCAGACGACAAAAACAATTCACTATTCCACTGGGTTTCTGCGTCGTCCTCTTTCTCTCCTACTCATGAAAGATAATTCGTCGTACCCGACATAGTTTTGGGAACAAGTATGACGTAACTATCCCCAGAAGCTGTAAGAAACTCACGTCATTTCCGACCTGTCTTAGGATTGACGACTGCAAGATACTCTGCGGAAAGAGAAAAGAGTTCTTTATTTGTCATTGGCTTGTAGAAAATAATGCCGGGAAAATTTTCTAAACTGCGTCGGTTTTCATGTTTAATGCAAGGAATTTCAAAGTTGTATATACTACCGCACAAAATTTCAGAAGCTTTTTGTTAAAACTATATATATATATATATATATATATATACATATAATTTTAAATTGTTTACAAGAGAATATTACAGAGACCTCTTTATCTGCCAAATTCCAGACTGAAGAGGTAGCGGTTAATTTCACATTATACAAATGCCTGTAGAAGAGAGAATAATGACGCACTCTCTGGAAGATCCATAGCTTGAAAGGAGCAATTGATTGATTTGTGTACAAGGGATAAATGCAAATGGAGCAGCTTCATCTCACAATGGCGTGCAAATATCAGCCACCACATCTAGGCGAAGGGATTACATCTCAACCACGACGCAGGATTCGCGAAACTAAATCCCAATGAGACTATGATCTACAGTACGGATCGGGGGATCAGTACATGGGCAATGGTGTTGTGCCACGGATCAGCCAAGTGGGTCTTCAAGTTCTCCAGGGGACCGGTGCCGGGGTAGGCTACGGCTTGAACGACGAACCCCAAAAATGCGACAAGTGCAAGACGACCTGCAAAAATAAACAATTAAACCCTGCAATGTGAATTCAAGGAGAACATTGGCTAAGAATCTGAAAAATAGTTATGTCGGAAAGAAAAAATTAACCCCGATTTAACCGTGCAATGGTCATCAAGGAGATAATACTAACCGTTCTTGATCTCCTTCAACTTGAGCTCCTCCAAGTTAGCACCCTTCGAAAAGCCCAAGGGATCGAAAGGACCACCTGGATACTTCCTCTTCTCCGGATCAGACTCGCCATTCCTCTGCGATTCCACAAAGGCGATGGCGATGAACTCGACAGCCAAAATGATGGGGAGGTTGCCCCATGGCACTGGGTTACCAAGGTAAGTGGCCTGACCACCAGGGGTGGCTGCCCATTTTTGGGCGGAGACCCAGTTTCCATAGCCAAGAGCTTCGGGAATCAGCACTCCAGGCTGCAAAGTGACAAAACAGATTAGAGCCACCTTTCGAGAATCCATTACTTACCATTAGCCTTTAACATACTGAAGTGTCGAGAACATGCCTTCTGAAATATTCTAATAAACTGAATACGCAAACTCAATCTGTCACTTACAATGGCGAGCATGGCCCAGCGAGCGTGGATGAGCTCAGACTCCTTGAATCGCTCCAGATTCTCAGGCACTTCTCCCAAACCCAGTGGGTCAAAGCCGAAGTCTCTGAAAGTTCATCTTCGATGTTAACTAAGGAAATGCAGCAGTCAAGTGGTATCACGCGAAAGACTACATGAGGCGAGGGCTGATCCTCCACCATGTTGTAGCCATTCGCAACGCACAGAAGTTATTGAACACGTCGCAGAAAGTTCGAGATGTGCAATCTACGTTACAAACGTTACATTGTGGACGGATTCTTCAATTCCTTGACACTCATTCAGGTATAGCAGTGGCTGTATTGAAAGGTTCCTTCTCACAGATTAACAAGAAGATTAACCCCAGGTGATAAAGAAAAGGGGCGGATCTGTTCAGAAAATGTGAGCTCGAAAAGTATTCCCGTCTTTTGGTAATCTATGATCGATCCCACGATGCGATTGTGAAATCGTACAAGAAAGAGACAAGGCACATCCGCGAGGGCGAGGGCGAACATATTGAACCTTGAAGATATCATACATACTATAAATGAAGGCATCACAAGACTAGCAGCATGGGGATACACGAGTAGTAGCAGAGAAACACCACATTAGCACAGCAAAAGGTCATCTAGGCGGCACTCAATGTCGAAATCGTGCCAATCAAAATGATTCCTAACGACAGAGAGCAGAGTAATCACATACCCTGGAGCCGACCCATCGAGGTAAGATGGGCGGGGGTTGCCGGGCAGCCACTCTGCCATACACACACGGCTACCATTGCTGCATCCATACATTGACAAGGAGCTAGAACCAGCGAAGAAGCTGGACTTTTGGGCAGTGGCGACTCCAGTCACCACACAGCTCACATGGGCGGCAGCAGTGGCCATTGCGGACGCCATTTCTGCGACTAGATTGATCGGTTGTACACGATCACGGCAGCAAATGCGCGTATGAATCTTCTGACTAGATGGGCTGAGTAATGGTTAACTGGGCTACTCGCGGATCCAAAGAGTCGAGCATATTATCTCCATGGGTGGTGGAGAGAAGAGATAAGGAACTGAGAATCAGACAGCATTTCTCCTATTGGCCCTCACTGGATTGAGTTTTCGCCTAGTTGACGATTCGCGAAAAGCTGATAATTCATCTACATGGTAACGCTCTTCTGTCATGCACGTCCCTTCACGGCTTTTTCCCATGGGAAGGCCACTCCCCACTTTTGATCCGCGGCATATCACTCTCGATTATCTGGATTTGTAACACCTAGAAAATTATTCTCTAAGTTGGAAGAATCTTCTACAGTTTACTGAGTCCTGTAGTCTTACCACTTCACAAAAACAGGTGCAGATGCTGCAGTGAAATCTTGGCTGAATGGCTTGCTGGTATCCCTCATGCCTGATTTCTTATTTGCATTCAGTGAGCTCTTGGAGCACAACACAAATCTTTCAGCATGAATCGATTTGGTCGGTTGCAGCACTCGCAATGCGCCGTACGTCCCATTTTCAGGTCCTTATCTGATGATTGAATTCAATAACTGAGGTCCTCCCTATTTATTATTGTAATGGGAAATTTAATTCATTGCGGTAAACAATAGTAGACTTCTCATATGACCACGCAGATTTCAGTTCTTCCAGAACTCCAATGAACCTCTTTCTCGCTCAGAGCCTGAGTTGGGTATTCTCAAATTTAGTTCCCCTGGTTCCAAGACCTCCATGAACAGAACCTGCTGGATTATTTCAATCTAGGTTTGGCTTCAGCAGGAATGATGTGCACAGTTCAGATGCATAACCGGAGAGGAACATGGAAACATAGTTTAGTTGAAACAAAACTCTTGTGTACGGGTTATGTGTTCAGTGACATTGGTCATAACGCAAGATACCTAACCTCTACAACCCTGGAGTAGTAGCCACCTTAAGCAGATCATTAGTCATCAGAAATGCGTCATTTCTGCCGAAAACTGAAATCAGTTCTAGACATTGGGAAAGAATTCCCAGTACTATAGTTTAGTGACAAAATTGAGTACAAGAATTATGTAATGGAAGCTTGGTCCAAAATTAAGCTCCTACATCTTAGGCAAAATTCTCCCATGGTACATTTGATCCAACAGCTCTTTCGACTCTGGTCTCCGCAACAATCCCTTGTTATTAGCTGATCCAGTTCCCAGGCACACAGGACAAACCAACTTCCCTCTTCCTGCAACAACCATCACCGGAGCGAACGCAATGAGCACTGGAACTTCACCAGAACATGCGCAACGTGAACAATGAAAAATTACACAAGTCATGATGAGTTTAAAGACATACCGTAACAGTTGGGGCACTCTGTGTACTCGTACACATCCTTGGGGCGCTTCCGGTTAAGCGCCTTCCATTTTCCTGTTCCACCGCACATGTCACCTGCACACACGGAGAAAGTAGTGAGTGGTTTTAGATTATTTCTGCAAGATGAGATCTATATAATAAACAGGAAAATTTAAATGCTCAAGCATTTAAGGAGAAGTCACATACAAGGAACTGCGCCTTGCCCTTGGCAATTCCTACAAGGAGCTACTTCTTTCTCAGCAGCTTCGGCGTTGACATCCGTTAATCCATTGCTTACAAATGCGGCTAACCCTAAGCAACACGTGCACAACAATCGCCTGCGAAGAATTGGGGTCTCCTGCATATTACAATTAAAACATATGTCAACCAGATGTCATTTCTACGTGCAGTTTATGACAGTTGTCGTTTGTGCGACACGGTGCCCAACTTATCATGCGAAGATACATATCAATTTGAAACCCGTACAGTTATTTAGAAGAGGTGCATACGACAAAATTATGCTTACCCTCTCTGAAGGTGCGTACGAGGTAGTTGCTGACTCATTCTGCACACTTGATTGCAAGTGATTCGGCTCAGTGCCATCGGACTGACTGCATCTGATGGCAACACTTGTTCTAGGAGTGCTGTAAAACCCTCCCGCAGGTCGTCCAAGGAGACGTGCTCCTTTCGTAAGCTGAAAGATAAACAATCCCTTCTATTAGCGCTGCTGACACTGAAGATGGAACCACTCGGTAATATGCGTCAAAGCATTCTGATGAACGACGTGCACCTCGCGCCCTCCACATTTCCAAGATTTGCACGAAATTGAAAAGTCTGGTAGAAGAAATCCATGAATGAACAAACACAGCTAAAAGTCTCCGCAATCAACCAAAAACCGAACAACATGTACGCACTGACTACGCAAGACGCTTCCAGAATCGCGAACCCACAAATGCACTCCAATATCGAAAGGTGGGTCATCCCTCACAACCAAGCAAAACCACCGCAAAACCACCGCAAACCCCACAGGATTACTACACCGTGTTGTCATCTCCACCCAATCACACAACACCCAGAGCAACGAATGGACAACAGGTTAAAACAAACGTGATATTTCACAGGAATTCCTACGGTTGAAGTGCCCCGGCCTAGCAGACGATACCTTCACTGATTCAGACACATCCCAGCAACAGTTGCTCATGCTGGGCACCAAGGTCTTCGCGGCCCTCGCTTCCATGTTGCTTGATGGGTTGCAACACAATTGCAACTGTGAGGTTGGCTCAGACACTCGTCCGGCTCCGAAATTGCACTGTGAGTGTCACGGGGCACGTCTCACACCATCGCTGGAGGAGGCCCGGCTTTGGGGCAGCTTATCCATGCGCTTCCCGGGGACCAGTAGCCGTGGAGCATGGTATTAGGAGGTTCGTTCGGTGATGTGCGAAGAGTGTGCAATTCTTTAATTTTATTTATAGAAATTTCAAGGATAGATTTAAGGTTTTCATTCAATGGTATGAGTTTTTTCTTTTTAATACCTTTCTTGTTGTATTTAGTGTGCGTTAAAAATGGGGATTGGTTAGGAACATATTTTTTGGAATATATGTGTGGTCAGATGTTAGTTCAATGAATTGGGTTTTTCATGACGACCCCTTTTGACATTCTATGATTTCTTACAATTGAAGGCCCAACAGCAAACAATTGTGGCTTGCACAATGAGCCCTCTAAATACTAAATTAATTAAAATAAAAATACTTTAGAGATTATTTGGAGGATTTAATTTATTTATTTCATAAAAAAAACAGATTTTGTAGTCAATTTGCTCATGTTGAGTTCAACCTATTTGTAACATTCTCTAATCATTTCCTTTGTGAATTGTTTTCTTTTCTCTGGTGCCTCTTATCATTCAAAAATATAAAGTGTCAAATTAAAGTTAAAATATGCTTCAAAGTTTGTTAAATTTATGTGTGTATGTATGTATGTGTATATATATATATTAAATTGAGTTAAGTTCATTCAACCTCAATTTTAAAAGCAATGTGCCATTTTCATATAAAGAATTATTAGTGAAGTTTTATATTAAAGATATCATTTATTTAGACCATCATGGTTTTTAATAAATTACCTAAAAATAATATTTAAGAGTTTTCAAATAGATTCAAAATTTTTTTTGTAAGTTATTGCACTATACAAAAAAGATTCATCACATATTTTAACAATATGTTTTATCTACATCTTCTAAGTCTAAAAATAAATTTTCGTATTTAATTTTGACAAAATGTAAAAGCTGATTTAAACTAGGATTCTTATCCAAAAGATCAAAAATATAATATATATATATATATACACACACATATAAAAGTCGTTTATTAAAAAAACCAAATCAAGATTTCATACGAATAATTAATATAATTTTAAAAAATACAATAAAAAATAATTCATTGCTTTAATATTGATTAGAAAAAAAACTAGCAATTTTGTGGAAAATCACTTTAATGATATTATATGTAGTTTTATACATGTGATAGGAGCATTTTCATTAATAATTATGGTCACAGTTTTTAATAAGTTAAATATCTTGTTTCAAAAAAAAATTATTTATTTTTTAGGAAGAAAATTCCAATTTCTCATATCATTCATTCTTGATACAAACTATAATCAGAAATTTGTAGTTATGTCACTGTTTTAAAAACATTTAACCACTAATTCTAAACTTCAATATATACAAGAAGAATTCTTTTTTATTCTAAATAAAATCCAAAGTAATATAATGGACATTCTATTTTTCATAAACTAATAATTTAAAGTAATTTAAATGACAGTTTTTTGTTTCATTTTAATTTTAAATTACATTATTTCTGATGTATAGACGTGGTTTTTTTCATGTAAAATAAAATTTAAGATATATATATGTATATATATATATATATATATATATATGATTATTAAAATTAATGGTTTAATAACAACAATTTACGTAAGTAATTGATATGTTAAAAGTTTGATATGTATGTGTATGTATGTGTATATATATATATATATATATGCATGAGAATATTAAATTGATCCACCAAAATCTTAAATCAATCCACCTTACTCCCATGATTCTATCTTTGTGACTACTTCTTTGATCCGGGAATAGAAAAACTCGTGAACTCATTTATTCAATTTTGCTGTGATCTCTTGTCAAACTTGAAAGTGTGGTGACCATGTTTTATGGCACAAGAGAAGGAGGGGTTGATGGCATCATGTGAGGAAGCAGAGAGTATTGGGTGGGGATGTGCCCCACAATGTGTGTGCGGGCCTGAATTAGATACCAAAAAGTGCTAAATAAAATTAAACCCAGCACAATGCAAATCGAAGTGAGACCACAAATAATTTCCCCCAAGGAGAATCTGAGGTTCATCTTTGATATTTTCGATTGAGTTCACATTATTTTTCTATTTCCAGATAAAAAAACAGAAGTAGCCATAGTGATTGCATCATGGGAATAAGATGGGGTGATTTAAAATTTAGGTGGGTCAATTTAACATTCCCCTACACATATGCACACATTAATGGATATGAAACAAAAAGAAATGACGCTACATCATTCATTCCGCTAAATACTCATTGTTTTTCATACATTACCCCATGTTAGTTCCTTCAGAGAGCTTACTAGAGGACATCTTTCTTTCCTTTTCTAACACCCATTCCCACAAATGTGTGTGAATGTATGTGACTACACAGGCGCGTTGGGGAATCGTCCGTCCGAGGCGCGCAACGAAGTGGCTGCAGGAATCTCCACATCGCATCGCAGCGCCGCCGCAGTGACAAGGCTCCGCCTTTCACCGCCCTCACCATGATGCTCCATGTCCACGCCGCAGCGCTGCCTGCTGGTGAGTGAGTGAGTGAGTGAGTGCGGGCCACCCAAGTGGTGTGATGCGTGCGAAATGGGCTCGAGAGGAGGAAGAAGAGGAAGAGAGAGAAACATGGGGAAAGACATGCGATGCATGTTTGCAAGTTAACAACTCTGTTGCAATGTGCGGACCTTCTTCTGTGCTCGGTCACTGCTAATGGAAGATTTTTGCATTGCGACTCATGCCCTTGTGGGCCCATGCCCACCGTTGCCGAATCTGTGCAATGCCCTCATCGTTTAACTGACTTCCCTGGGCTGAATGGTAGAGTCCACTGGAGGAGGGGGGGCTCACCAACAGGTGCCTCGTGTTTAGAATTTTGTCAACCTCGTCGAGGAGATTGCTACGTTTGAATACGTCAGCGATTTACATGGGTTCATCTGGTGGATAACGTGCTGATTCCTATGGATTTGTGACATGTGACTGAAGAGGGGAGTCTCAGCCTCGCGCGTGGGATTATCTTCAGCATTTGGCGCAGGTTGAGGTTGGACAGGAGGTGGGATTGGCAAGGGAGTTGTGATCATCGAAGATGGTGGGACATTGTGGTCAATGAGAGAGGGGCGTTGATGCGCGGTTTGTAAGTGGGGTGTGGATTATTGTGGGGTTTTGGACTAGGTCATGATCATGGCGGTAACGACGGGCATGGAACTTTCTCATATGCTATCCTCTGTTGCTTATTCACGTGTTAACTCCAGCAGTGTTGCTGGAATTCTTTCTTCGAGCCCCGTCATTAGAGTAGCTCTTTATGGTGGGTTGCAATCGCGCAGAACGCTGTCATCTTCTGGTCCGGGGCCGAAACATGAACTCGGGCAGGGATCGGGTCAGGGACTGGGGGCATTTGGAAGTGGATACAGAGGCACTTGTGGGGGGTTCGCGAGGGAGCTTGTGCTCTCGTCGCATTCAATGCAGAATAGGACTGTTAGGGCAAAAGTGACAAACAATGGCAGTGACCAGACATCATCACCTCCTCCGAAGGAACAAGCAGTGAGCCAAAACATTCTAAGTCTGCCCGGGGCTATTTGGAGACAAATTCTGACTCCTTTGAGCAATTTTGGGTTCGGTAAACGCAGCGTGTGGGAAGGGGGCGTGGGCCTCTTTGTCTTGTCAGGTATGCTCCTACTCACAATCACCCTGGTGTGGGTGAAGGGGAAACAGATTCGCGCCAAGACGCGCAAGTATGAGGCCGTGTTCGAGTTTCAGCAGGCTCAGGGCATTACTGTAGGCACCCCAGTGCGAATTCGTGGCGTAGATGTGGGCAATGTTGTCCAGGTGCGGCCTAGTTTGGAGAAAATTGATGTGGTGGTGGAACTTTCGGACGCGGGCATTGTTGTGCCTCGTAATGCTTTGGTCGAGGTCAATCAAAGTGGTCTCATTAGCGAAACATTGATTGACGTGACCCCGCGACGGCCAATACCTAAGCCTACCGTAGGTCCCTTAGATCCCAATTGCCGTTCGGAGGGGCTCATTGTGTGCGACAGGGAGAGGATGAAGGGCGAGCAGGGTGTGAGCTTGGATGAGCTGGTCGGCATTTGCACGAAAATTGCGCGCCAAATTGACGCTCTGGGAGTGGAACGGATGGCTAGCATGGCCGAACGTCTCATCGACGCCGTCCAAGATGCCAGACCGCTGCTCTTGAAGGTAAACCCTTAACGAACTAAAACACCATCGCTGCGAGAACAACACCCTCCCCATCCCCCTTTTCTCTGTCGCGCGCGCGAATGAAGATGCGTGTAATTTACTTTCCGCCTAAGAATGTTGCCGCAGCTCTACATTCCAGATGAGATGAACCATTGCGTTTGTTAAAATTGTTTCATATGTCAAGAAATCTGCTGTGTTCTGCAGGTTCAGTCCATGGCTGGCGACGTTGAACCTTTGCTGAAAGAGGTGAGGGAGGGCAGCCTTCTCAAGGACCTCGAGAATTTAACAAAAGTTGCAGCAGAGGCAGGACGCGATCTGAGGTAACTCGTGCATCCTGTACCCACGTTCTGTCTTTCTGAGAAATAGTGGCCGCTTTTTGTAGCCCTTCATGTCGCACGAAAATATAACATGAATCCAATTTTGTGGTGTATTCAGTTTTTTTTTTTTTTTTTTTTTTTTTTTTTTTTGATATGCGTGACTATGAATTTCTACGATACCAAAGCAGAATATGTGACAAGTTAGGATTTGTTAGGTTGGATAATACAATTTAATAATGCCCATCGAGATCATAACTGCACTTTTGCCAACCTGATGTCATGTTGACGTTGAAGAAGACGTGTCCACCTCATTTCCTAATTTTTAAACAGAAGGTCGATTAATCAATTGCCTTTGCATTCCTATCATAATGACTTAAACACACCTTGGTGCTGAGCAGTTTCTCGAGGAGGCTGCGATTGATTCGCTAGGTAACATATTGTTATCGGGAAGTAATAGGCTCGTTTTAATGGGACCTTTAGTATCTGATCCTGAGAATTTTGAGAGATTTTGTTGACTGGTAATTATGTTACTAAAAGTTGTACACATAGTGAAGACTGATTATTGGAATGTTTAACACTCTTCAGTATCCCTATTGTCCTTGTTATGACTTCTTGTTTCTCATCTGCAGTACTTTGAACAAAATAGTGTTGACTTCGGACAATATGGTGCTACTGCGAGACTCCGTGTCCACGTTAACGAAAACTTTACAACATATTGAGGTAAGCATTCTTGTCCGAAAATCTTGGTAGAAGTTGTTTGACCCTACGTTCATTGTGCTTGTCTTGATTTTTCTACATAAATCTCGTTAAATCAACTGTCCAGCGATCTGCATGTAGGAAGAGGTAACTGAGTAGTCCTTAGCCTGAATACAACGACCTGGCATTTGCAGAACATCAGCAGAGATGTAAGTGGGGTGACGGGGGATGCAAAGACGAGGAACAATTTGAAGCAACTAATTGAGTCATTAAGCCGGCTTTCCACAGATTAGTTTGAGAGCGAAGGATGAAAAGAAGATTTTTCAATTCATTTAGAACTAAATATTGATCTGACAATAATCACATGAGAAAATCCTACATTAGGTGAGGATTTTTTATGATTAACTCGCAGTCTCTTGTATGTACCTCAGTGTTATTCAGATATTTTGGTCCTATCAGAGAACCTTTTTTTGATCCCTAGTGGGTTACCCAATCGAAAATGAACTTTGATTCGGGTGTTTTCCGTACATTGCTGCATAGACATACCAGTTAAGCTTTACTAAGTGTTTCCTGGTAAGTCAGAAACGTTGAAGGGGTTTCTGTAATGTGACGTTATTTGAGCAGTGATGACAACTTGAACACGCAGCAATGAAAGTGGCAGCTAGATGCCAAGGCATCTAAAGATCTGTTTTCTGACGTTGTATTAGCTTGTGACCATGCGGTTTATAAGCTTGAATTGCCATGGTCAGTATTTAGACTCGAATTGGCAAGAGATTTCGGACTGTACGTTATAGTGTGCTTATTAGGGGTTCTATAGGCAAGCGTTTTTGCGTGCCTTGGTTTTCGTCCACATTTACAGTTGATTCACTTTTTCAAACTTTAGTTAACCACTCAATCCGAAGTATTTCCTTGAGATGAAGTGGTACTAGACACCAATTTGATCGAGACATGCTGCTTGATTTGGAGAACATTGCCTCAACTGCAATCGCCTCATCACCACTCTGAGCTAACTGCGGGATCTCGTGATAGGGAACTCTTCTTTTGGTGAGAGTACTGGTAATCTTATATGGAATAAGTAAAAGTCGCCAGGAAGGACGTAATTAAAGGAGAAAATATATACAAAGCATGCATCAAAATAAACGAATGGAAATTGCAAAGTAGATTGAAAGTGACAAGGACATGGTTATATTGAAAGCCAAGAGAAGTAAATCTTTACTACATCATAGATCATTCAAACCAATCTGATTTCAAACGATAATGCTCTAATCCTGCTAAGCAGTGGATTCATGCTGCCTGCACTCTCGCAGCTCCTCAATCAAAGTTCAACTATATTCGTATTGTTTGACTTGGGAATTTAACAATGGGCACAGATGTAGTAGTATCAGGACTGACTCAACATTAATTTCCATAGCTACTAATCATCGCATGGAAATCAACTAGAGCATAAAGGCTGGCAATGTCATGCGCAAGTCTGTACACTAACCTGTGTCATCCGGTTCAACTAACAACATCCACCGTGGATGAATACATAAAACCGGTCTCTTACACTTCGCTGGGCGCAACATTACCAAGGAAGGCCTTACACATTGTGAAGCGTTTATAAAGATTCCTACTATGATTTATGTAAACTTCTCAGAATACAAAATAGAGACTACATAGCTATGAGAACTGCACAAAATTTAGGGAACTAATAGCTCGCCTGATGTGATCGCTGGGTCGGGTGCGCAACAATCAACAGATCTACGTCTAAGAGCAGCAAGCATCCAGAGGTAGGGAAAGGACTTCTTGAACTCCTCTATCTTCCTCACCACCGGAACAGAGTCGTAGGTTTGAGCAAGGGTATCCTCCAGATGGTAAGCAACGCTGGCCGTGTACACCTACGCCGGAGTTGCCCGCATGGGATATGTTCGAACGTGGCCACCAACGTGAAGATATTGAGAAAATCACTGTGCAGGTGCCGAGGGAGATAGAGGAGTGCAAGAAGTTGAACTTGAACATATATCTCCTTCATGACCCTGTTATATACTCTGACTCTCCTGTTTGTGCCTTCCATGCGACACCTTTTACACTGCGCGAGTGTTGTAGGAGATAGGAGGATGCAGTCTGTTGGGCAAATAGCATCATGTCCTGGAACGCTTATCAATTCTTTTCTGATAAAGTAGGCCGGAGTCGGAACTTATGTCTGAGTTATCCTCTCATGTTCTGGTTGACAGAATTTCCATCATCAAGATCCACTGTGGTACGCATGATTTTATGCTTTTGCATTTTTTTTTGGTAAAATTCCCCCTTCCCCCAGAAAAGGTCGTGAACCAGAGCAAAATTGTGTGGCGACAAAGCCCTTCCATCCACCTCCGACCAATGCATGTAAACCGAGCATCAGCTTGGGTCACGGACAGCCTCAAACATGGATGGAGCCTGGCAAGTCAGTCCCGATGGACGTCTCTGGGTCCGAACCCGCAACAACTGGGATTTAGAAAATTGTGGTGACAATTGCATGTGGAGTATTAGAAATAGGCAGTTACAACTAATTGAGTGTAAGGTGTCAAAGCGTCACACCCAGTCGAGGAGGCGCAACCCTTCAAGGTGTGTTCTCCTAGACAATACAAAGCAAATGAAAAATAGAAAATGAAATAAGAAATATAATTACTTGCAAATACTGAACTTATACTCTAATCCTAGAAGTAAAATAAGTTCCAATAATGTATCAGAGCTTCTCTTTGAAAACTTATTAAAGAAGTTCTAGAAAAGAAGTAATTAAAAAACTCTCAAGGAGGCTTTGCTGAAGAAGTTCTTCAAAGAAACTAAGGCACCAATAAACGTCCCTTCTTACAAGCATGCCTGCAAACAACCTCTCCATCAAAGAATGGCCCAAGTTTAATGGCTTATGGTACTTAATTTAGAAACAAAAAATTCAAATGAAATTTGACATAGAAGATGTTTGAAATCTAGTTTTAGGAATTGAAAAGGAACCAATTCCTATCTTAGAACCAAACTCAACATCACCAACAAATCAAAATGATATATTCACATGGAAGAAGAAAAATCAAATGGTTTTTTCTGCTTTTGGGATTATATGGATACCTCAATTTTCTAACATGTAAGAGCATGCAAAACAACAAATGAGGCTTAGATGTCCCTTGAAGATACATATTTAGTAAGGAATATAATCCCTCAAGCCCACCTATAAGAAAAATTCATAACACAAAAGATGAAAGTAGGAGAATCAATTATACAACATTTTTACAATTTCAGAAATCTACTTCAATAGTATTAAGCCATAGGAGTTGTTATTTCACTACAAATGGAAATATTAACTCTTATAAAGTCTATGTCATCATAGTATGGCATTATCATACAAATATTAAGAACAATAGGAAATGCAATACTTCCTAAATTAATCTCTATTCTTTTTTAGGAAGAAATAACCATAAAAGGCTCTTTTCCTAAAATATAAGCCTTCTTCATCAATCAAAAAATCAAAGGCAAATGGCTATGAAAGCCATCATAAAAAAAATATTCAAAAGAATAAAAATATAATTAAAAATCAAAAAGTATGCCTATAACTTATTAAGGATATGAATCTTGAAAAAAGAAATCCTTTATATACTCTTGTCTCACTCAAAAGAAGTAAATGGTCACTCAAAGATGATATGGTATTAAACTAGAATGACTATTGCCAAAGACAAGAAGATTAGAAAGTTTTGAAATAAGACTAAAGACTAGAAAGGCATTGATAAGAGTGAAGAAGGCTTTACTCTTCCTTTTATATATACTCTTAACTAGGAGCTACTTGGCAATGTCCTATAGGACTTCTAAAACATGTTAACTTTGTAAGACACATATCTTAATTGACAAGGAAAGTTTTCTATATGTATACCACATAGCTTGTTCTGCAAGCTACCAATATATGGTTAACTTGTTGACCAAGTTTCTAACCTATTAATCAACTACAAATACATGTAAAGTCAAAGTATTATTTATAAAGTTTTTGAGAAGATTCTTTAGAAAATATTATAAAATAAATCTATTTTTACCTACTTCTACTTAATCATATAAGTAAATATTAAAATAAATATATATGTCTGTGATATTATCTTCCCTTTTAGGAACAAGTTCCATGACAAGCATTCTTCATATGTTGAGGAATTTTAGGATGCATCAAATTGTGTTTGCCACATACTCTGATCTTTTTTCTCTTCAAAGATGGTTGATAGGTCTTCTCAGCTATTGATAATATCTTATCTAATAAGTCAATAAATGAAAGTTCTTGAGTTGAATTTGTTGGTTGTTGGTTATTCATCTCCTAAACATCACAAATTGTCAAGGACAAGAACTTAATGAAAAAACAATTCAGACAAGTGAGCCTTCACTCAAAGAAAGGTAACAAAATATAAATAAACAAGTATGTATATTGAAAGAGAAACTGGAATGGCTATTGCCAAAAGACAAAGAAACTAGAGACCCTTGAAACTAGACTGGAAGCAAGAAAAGAGTTGACAAGAGTGAAGAAGCCTTCATTCTTGTCTCTATATATACTATCTAACTAGGGGCTATGTGGCGACGTTCTATAGGACCTCCAATATGTGTTGACTTTGTAGGATACATGCCTTGACTTACAAGGCAAGTTCTTCTACATATGGGCCACATAGTTAGCTTGATCTTCAAGCTAACAACATGTGTGGCACATGGCCAACTTGTTGACCACATTTCTAATCCAAAAAGTCAATTAAAGACACCTATGAAGTCAAAGTAGCATCTATGAAGCTTCTAGGAAGCTTCCATATTAAATACTATAGAATTAACTTACTTTTACCTACCTTTACTTACTTCTACCTATTTGTATATGTAATTACTAGCTTACATGATTATGTCCGTGACACAAATATATAAAAGCTATAAAAAGGGTAGAAGATAGAATGCTATCTTCCTTGGATCTTAATTCTTTTATAGTAAAAATTTACTATTCTTTATCTTAATTTTGATAAATGTCATTGATAAAAAGTCTCAACTCTCTTTGGTGCATTTGCAAGATTCTTAGCTAGCTTCCATGTGAATTTGCTAATATCATATATGTACCAATAAACAAGATATTGTAATCTATTTTGGTGTCGCCTTGAATCTAAGACTTCTTTTACCTCAAATTCTTGATTATTATCCATTTCTATAAAAGAAGGTGGTATTTGTTTTCTTTCCAAGATATTAACTATCTTATATAGCTCAAAAAAAAAATATAAAATATGAGGTGGATATTCATAGCCTTTGATAGGTATAATCTATAAACAATAAGATTCATTTGTTCACAAATAGAAAAAGTTTCAAGCCTACAATAGTCCAATTTATCACAAAGATAAGTAGTCTTGATATTACGACAAAATAACTATATCTTATCACTTACATTGAATTGTAGTTGTTTCCTACAATAGGCATCTATATTGATCTTTTGTTGTTCTTGAACTCCCTTTAATTATACCTTTATTGTTATATGTAATTCTAATAAATGAATTGCCAAATCTTCTATTATAGGATTATCAACTTTTAAAAAGTTAAAAGTATTAAGTGATGGATGATAACTATAATTGGCAAAAAAAGTTATTTGTTGAATAAAAGAATGTACTAAATCATTGTATACAAAATTTACCAATGACAAAAGAGTTGTTTAATCATCTTGATGAAAATTGATGGTACACTTCAAATATTGTTTTC